TCTATACAATAATTTCCTTATTTGATATTTAAGATTATTACATTTCTTGTACTTAAATCTAATTACCGATTTTATTATTTTACGTTCTATTTTCCATACCGCATGTCTAGGTATAACACTTCTTATAGATCTTCTTAACTTCATAGTGTTTGACGTACTTTCTTCTCGTAAAAAACATCTGAGGTAGTTCATGTCATGTCCTAACATTTCAGATATTTTTGTAAGTTCAGCTAACTTTATATCCATTTCTATTTTTCTGATTCTTCACTAATGTGAGGGCCCGGATTTAAGAAGATTGAGTTTCGAATATTTATATTCATTTTTATCTACCCTTTTGTTTCAAAACCAAACCAATTTTATAAAAAGTTAGGGTTAACTCAAAAAGAGAAAAACAACCGACAAATTTTCTCATAAAAATCGATCATAAAACTCCGTTCCCACGAAAATACTTCCTTGTAGAAGATGAGTTAACTGTTGTGTCATATTTTTGTCACTTCGCCCACCATTGGTCAAAGAAGATCATCACCTGTGAAGTACATGGGGAAATCTCGAAAAGAGAGCCCCCATATAAAAGGCAAGTACGATGACGACACAGTGGGGGAAAGTTATTTTTCTGTACTGTGTGTGTGTGGATATTCCTGTCTCTCGTCGCCACCGTCTTCAATAGACTTTGATTACGACTTTGAACTTTGACTTCGAACTTTGGACTATATTACGAACCCGGGAGAAGGAGAAATTAGATCAACTCGACATCTATGTTATAACTACAGGTATTTATTCTACTCGCGAGGATGTGTAAGCCTTCTCTCGAATATTCCAAACTCGCGGTTAGGGTCGCGATTAATTTGTACTTTGTCCACTATTTTTTTGAACTATACGGATTGAAAAATCCAGAGAGGGATCGATACCCTCGAATCTTTAAATAATTAACTATGTAAAAATGTACAATAATAAACGGGTATATTGTTAACAACCTTGGATTGGTGTGCGTTTCTTCCGGCATTATCACCTTCATACTGAACCCGAAGTCCTGAACGAGATCGCTCGTGATAATCTCTCCTCATTTAACCGCGTATCTATCCGCTAAAAATTTGATAGATTGGTGTCAGATCCTGACCGGAGGAAGAATCTAACGATCCTTTTCACTAAACCCTTTTTGCCATCCTTTAGACAAGCGGGACCGGACCTCAAGGTCTCGAGTCGATTAAGAGGTAGGAGAGTCATGAACTCGTAAACATCCTACCCCGATTAGTCTCACACTAAGCACTAAGGGTTGGGATGCATTGCGCCAACCTGAAATGCATTTGTCAATTTTGAGAATAAAATTGTAGTTCCTAACTGAAAATTTGCTGAGAGTCCGTCTACCATTTCTTGGATTACAGAGACGTATTACATAGAAATATAAATTATTTTATATTTTATCGTATAATACAGGTAACCCCCGTATAACACGGCACTTCTATAGCACGGATTCACTCTAACACGGTTCGAGAATTGGTACAATCCCCCGTATAAAACATAGCAAAGTATATCATTAAACACAAAATGGACTACACCCACAAGTACTACAAACTACACCCTGCCTGCAACCAGCATCCTATATACAATATCCACATCGCTACCCAAGAAAATCAACCACCGTTCAAAATCTTTACGGATGGGTCAAAGACACCAGAGGGCGTAGGGTGTTCTGTGGTTATCATTGGACCAAATGAACGAAACATTTGGCAGATGAGTGGAAAACTAGAAGGACATTGTACAGTCAACCAAGCCGAGAGCCTTGCAATACTCAAGGCTCTCCAGTACGTAAACACTCATTTTAACGATAAAAATAAAACTTATGTGGAAATTCTTAGTGACAGCAAGACAGCCTTACTGCAAGTCCACAAATTGAACACAAAACTGAACATCATTGCACGAACAGTAACACTTCTCCAGTGCCTATCTGTGAAAGGTCTTACAGTTTCTTTTACGTGGGTTAGGGGCCACTCTGGCATTCGGGGAAATGAGAGGGCCGACCTTCTTGCAAAGAAGGCGGCACGATCATCAACGGAACCAGTGTTTGGAGAGCTTCCCAGCTGTTGGCTTCATGAGAAACTTAAAAAACTTACTATTTCGGACTGGCAAGCCAGATGGAACAGCGAATCTACAGGAAGAACTACCCAT